CAGGCAGTTCTTTTTTTGTGAGAGAGGGAGAGGGAGAGAGGGAGAGGGGGAGGGGAGGGGGAGGGAGGGAGGGAAGGAAAGAAGGAGAAGGAGGGAGAGAAAGAGAGAGAGAGAGAGAGAGAGAAGAGGGCTTCCAGATCTAACAAGCACTCAAGTAAAGAATTGTAAGCCACCCAGAGTTGGGTGGTTATAGAAATTGAATAAATACATCACAGTCATCCTGAACACATGACTACAAGGCCAAGGTGAACAGTCTTCGGAAGGACACTGCTACGTATGAGATTCTGAAGAGAGATCCCACCAGCAGTTACAAGAAAGAGGTCATTGACTTCTTGCGACAACTACTGAAGGACAATGCCATTGACAAGCCACAACACTACCGTCTTTACCCTGGGGAAGTCACCCCATGCATATATGGACTCCCCAAAATCCACAAAGAGGGAACGCCATTCAGACCAATTGTCAGCAGCATCAACTCTGTCACCTACAACACTGCAAAACATCTAACCACCTTATTAGCTCCTCTAGTTGGCAACACCATCCATCACATCAACAATTCACAGGACTTTGCCAGCAAGGTTTGGAAACTAAAACTGGGCCCAGATGAGACCATGGTTTCCTATGATGTGACTTTCCTCTTCACCTGCATTCCAACAACTGAATCTGTCACAGTAGTGAAAAAAACAACTGCTATAAGATAGCACCCTGGGTGACAAAACCAACCTCAGCCCAGAGCACACATATCTGCCATGCTGAACCTCTGCCTGACCACTACCTATTTTAAATACAATAAAGGTTTCTACAGACAAAAACACAGTTGCGCCTCGTGGCCAATCTGTACATGGAAGAGATAGAAACCAAAGCCCTAAACTCCTTCACAGAAATTCACCGGTATAGGTATTTGGATGACGCTCGGGTCAAGATCAAAACCCAGAAACTGGAAGCATTCACCAAACATATCAACTCTGTGGACAGATAAATCAAATTCACATGGGATGATGTTAAGGAAAATAGTCTAGCCTTCCTGGACTGTGCAGTACACATCAAGGAAGACAGAAGTCTTAACACTGAAGTTTATAGACCCCCCCCAAAGATCATTTTCGTTTTCATTCTCACCACACACTGGAGCACACCAAACTGAAGACTTGCCTACCAGCAAAAATGGGAAAGAAAAAAAAACCTAAAACACATTAACAAAGCCCTGAGAATGTGTGGCTATCCCAAGTGCCCTTCATCAAATCCCCCAAAAGACCCAGCAGGAGCTCCTTCGTAACAGACGAAGAAGAGAACAATAAACAAAGCAATGTTGTCATTCCATATGTTGCAGGAATATCTGAAAAGCTCAGGAGGATCTTCAGCCAACACAACATATGTGCATACTTTAAGCCCAAGAATACACTAAGGCAGAAGCTTGTCCACCAAAAGGATAAAACACCCAGACACAACTGAGTAACGTGCTATATGCAGTACAATGCAGTGAACCGTGTGCAGATTTATACATTGGTGAAACAAAACAACCACTTCATAAACACATAGCACAACATAGGAGAACAAACCCATCAGGACCAGATTCAGCAATTTATTGTAAAAGACAAAGGCCATTCTTTCAAAGACAGCAAAGTCCATGTTTTAGACAGAGAGGACCGATGGAGGGGTCAAAGAGGCCATCTATGTCATAATTGAACAGCTCTCTCTCAACAGAGGGGGAGGGATATGACATCATCTATCTTCAGTCTACAACACAGTCCTTTCAGCAATTTTAAGAAGGCTTCACACCCATTCGCACTACTCAGGTGACCCTGACAACACAGATAAACTTCCAGGGGGCCTCAGTGACTCTCTAAAAGAATGCAAATGACTAGCTGTCTGCAAGAAGTATAAATCCTTCCATTCCCCACCATCCAGGCAGAGCTGAAAAGGCTTCTTGGATGAGAAACGAAACGTCTTCAAAGAAAAACAAGAAAGTCCAATTGCCTCTTGAAAAAGCACCTTTGGGACAACCATGAACTGGGTGACTGAGAATCTCCACAGACAATAAATATATCAATAAAAAGTAGATAGAAAGCCCACAATAACAATGGTCAGTTGAAATTATTTTTCTTTCCACCTTGATAAAAAGCCAGCAAGGAGAATTAATGGAGACAGTGAACCACTGGAAAATTAAAGCTTAAGCCAGTAAGAGAATTGGCAAACACGAACTCTTGCCTCCATCAGAATCATACTAGTTTCTGAGGCATTTGAAAAACAGCATCTGTAACTGCTCTAAGAATGGCCACAGCACAATTGTCAGGATTGCCATGCTGTTGTGCCAGCCATGCTTCGCCAGATGCCAATCTGCCATACACAACAATGGGAGGGAGCTGCGGTGTGGGATATGGGGGAGGGGGTAGCATAAGGGGAATCAAAACTATTCGTCCCGTGAGAGCCGTTGGCTGTTCCATGGTCATACCATGGAATGCAACACCTTCTAGCCCACAAGTCAGGGACCGTTACTAGTAACAGTCTGGTAAATTAAGTTAGTTTCCTCTATTTTAAGTTACTGTGTAGGTTGGACCCAGGAGAAATTCCTAACTGATGAGTAAGCAGGATTTAGAGAGGGCAGTGTGCCATCTTAAAATTACTAATAAAAATAGATACAGGGACAAAACTATCCTTATATATTGTCTTCACTGACTGAAAATCAACCCTTGAACAATTAGTTATGAAAACATTTGTACTTGTCTTGACAAAGAGGAAGCAATTTATATATACATATATAGTATATTCCTTTTCTTCTTTTAGACATTTTTCTTCCTTTTTCCCCCTTCTTCTGTATTTTTCTTAGTTTGTGTTAGTTTATCATCTTTGTATTTTTAACCTTCAATAAACATTACAAAAAAGAAATAATCACCACAATTGTTCTCTTAAAGTTGTCATTCTTTGCATGCCTATTTGGTAATAAGCTGAATTGAGCTCTTTTCAAGCATATATGCAGGATTTATAGTATTATATTTATAACTGCTAGGTTCATAACACCTTTCAATATCTTCTAGACAGCAATGATGAAAAAGATGTGTTATTTTTGGAAAAAATTAAGTTTTCTCAATACTTTCACTGATGAACAATTCAGATAAACTCATAGATTTTTACAGTAGACTGAGATTTATATCCTTCTTATCATTTGAAACTTCTCTAGCTTACAATTACGCATATAATAAATATTGCGATTTTTTGATAGACATCTTAGAAAAACAGTGAAGTAGGTAAAATAGTTTGATGGTCTTGAAATTTAAGTAAGGGTTATCTGCTTATGTTCCTTTTCAATGTTTCATTTTCCAAAGTCCAGCCTTATTTTTCTTTTTCTTTTATTTTTTCTCGATCCCAGATTCTAGTTTTTTATTACTTCTCAGAAACACTCAAACAATAAAGTTCCTTGCATATTACAATATAAATATAAGTCCCCTAGGTCAGGGGTAGGCTCGGGAATTCTGGGAGTTGAAGTCCACGAGTCATAAAAGAGCCAACGTTGCCTATCCCTGCCCTAGGTCAATTCATCTGCCCATGTAATTTCTTTAGGTAGCTCACCCTCCAACATCAGAGTCTTCAGTTAACAGGTGATAATTCTATACTGGAGACTTGATTACACATGGCTTAATGCAGATGTCCCCAATCCCCGGTCCATGGACTGGCACCAGGCCGCGGCATGCCAGAAACCGGGCCATGCAAACAAGCGAAGCCTCATCCATGCGATGTAGGCAGTATATAAAACCACATCCCCTCCGGTCTGCGGAAAAATCTCTCCTCACAGAACCGGTCCCTGGTGCCTAAAAGGTTGGGGGCTTCTGACTTAATGTATTTAAGGGCATTTGACAAACCAAACCCCACCCCTTGCATTCAAACAATGCAAGAAGATTAACAGGTTTTGATTCTATTCTGGAGACTGAAAAATTGTTGTAATCAGATTAGGCATCATTGCAGTATCTAGCCACTATATGAACCAACAATTTTTTTTTACCACAAAACAGCTTCATACATTTAAAAGAAATCTTCAACATGCCTGGCCCAGAGATACTCAAATCGAGGATTGCGAAAGCTAAATAACTGAAGAATAATTTTGTGGTACTTATATTTAACTTCACAGAGGTAACATACATGCACACAAACAAGTTAAAGGAAGTACAAAGTTGAATGGCATTTGACTGCAGTAGGTATTTTATATTTTTTCTTTTCAAAAATAGAAACTGAGCACATGAGCCCTGACAGCATAGTGGTTAGAATGCAGTATTGCAGGCTAATTCTGCTGACTGCCAGAAGTTCGATCCTGACCGGCTCAAGGTTGACTCAGCCTTCCATCCTTCCGAGGTCGATTTAATGAGGACCCAGATTGTTGGGGGCAATAGGCTGACTCTGTAAACTGCTTAGAGAGGGCTGTAAAGCACTTGGAAGCGGTATATAACTCTAAGTGCTATTGCTATTGTTATCTCAAGTCTAAAGAAGCAAAGACATGGTGGTTTGCTATTAATGCTTATACTCCCCCCAAGAAAAAAATCATTGTGTAACTTTATTAGAAGATTTATAGTTTTACAGCCATAAATCTGTTGAAAGCAAAAAATTAAGTCAGCAACATGAAGGAACTGTGCACAATTCTCTCATGTGCCTAATTGTTCTAGGCCACAGACATCAACTCATAGCACTTCTATCCAGCTAGGAATAATTGTCTATTTTCACATTTTGTCATCATTATTTTGGAGAAAAATAATCCCCGTCAACCCTACAAAACATTCCATTGTACATAACATTCACTCAGCTTCATCTCAAAATACATAAAAGTAGTTTGTAAATACAGCTACATTTCTGTTGGAAAATGGGTACTACTCTTGCAAGTCTAAGTCAATAACACCTTAGCTGGAATATACATTTAATTAAGCTGCTCTGTATCAACCATGCAGTGTATCAAATTCTACAACGTGAACTAGGAATTTAGTTAGAAAAGGAGCAGGTCAGCAGATGAAGATACTCACCGGGCTGTATGTTTCATCTGCAGAATGATTAATTTCCCACCAATTTGATGTCCACTCCCAGGCATTTCCCACAATGTTGTACAAGCCATAACCATTTGGAGGAAATGCTGTTACCTGCCTCAGAAAAAAAAGTGGTTAATGCTGCAGAAAAATTAATTATTTATCCTATTAGTAACCAATGGATTTACTGAAAGAAGAATTCATCTGTACCATATTGCTTTGTAATTGTTCTGTTCTAAATGATGATGATCTATGTTGCAGTTTTCTCATTACTAGAAAAAAACAAATCTTCCCTTAACGTATTTCCTAAATTCTCATGTTTTACAGACAGACCCCAAGGTCTCTTCCAATTCTATTATTCTGTTATCACAGACATATCAAACACAAGGCCCGCAGGCCGGATCCGGCCCACCGTCTGTCCTAGGGACCTGCTCTGGAAACAGTGAAGGACTGGCCCGCAGCACCTCGGCCCGGCCCAAGTTGACCAGGTACTGATCTACAACCTGATTGCATCCATCAAAGCCAGAATGTGCTCAGCCTTAGATCCACGAGGCAGCCCTGGAACCAGCGATGGGTACCCCCACCCCACCCTCTGAACGCGCGCGCAGAGTCCGGCATACCTGCCGGCTGTCTTGCCCCACAGGCTGACTTCACCCAGGATGCCGCCACTGGCCTCTCCTGTGCGCACACCATGGGGGCAGGGCAGAGGAGGTGGGGCAGCTCCTCACTGGTTCCAGGGCTGCCCCATGGATCTAAGGCTGACGCGTTCTGGCTTTGATGGACACAACCAGGTTGTAGATTAGTGCCACCCCTTCCTCCCGCCAGCACCTCCATAGCTCGCTCGCTGACCTAGCCCCGGAGCCACGAGGCTTCCCTTTCACCGGGACCGGCCCTGTCCCCATCGGTGGGGACACCGGCAGCGCTGACAATCTCTCCCCCTCCCATCACGCCTTCCTGAGCATGGAGGAAGGAAAGAGATGAGAAGGAGAAGGAAGGAAGGAAGGAAGGAAGGAGGGAGGGAGGGAGGGAGGGAAAAGGAGGAAGGAAGAGGGTGAGAGAGAAAAAAGGGAGGGAGGAAGGAACAAGAACAAACAGGAAGGAATGGAAGAAGGAACAGAGGAAAAAAGGGAGGGAGGGAGGAAGGAATAAAGGAACGAATAGGGGGAGGGAAAAGAAGGAACGGAGGAAGGAAAGGGAGGGAGGGAGGGAGGAAAGAAGGAGTTCTGCTTCAATCCTGGATCATTGAGATTTGGGCTCAAAGGAGAAAGCAATTTTGTATTCTCTTTTGTCACAGACAGGATTTTATTGGCAATCCAAGTTAACATTGATATTCTTGAATTGTGAACTCTTAGGAAAGTATCCCCTCATTGTGTGTTGCAAACAGCCATTTCCAGTGGGAAAAACAGGACAAAACAGAGTGGGGGAAAATATTTTCCTTTGCTATATTTCCAGTCTGAATTAGACCACAGCAGGGTCCCTGCAGAATAGCTCTTTTAAGGATTATGTATTAATAGAAAAGCAACTAACTTACCTCTGTTCCGAAATGCTAAAGCTGTTGCATATAAAAAACAGAGAAGCTCTGATCAACCATCACAGCCACCATTTTGACAGTTTTGCTGTACTGTTGTCTGTGGACGCCCCCACTAAATGCAAGCATGGGATAAACTGAGCCTGGTTTGTTCTCAGTCTTTTAAGTGATCACAAGGCAAGGAGGCATCGAGAAATATTTCCCCTTTTGCATTTGAGCATCCAAGAAGGGACAGGAAAGGAGAAAGGGAAAGAGGAAAGACAAACAAAAAGAAGGAAAGAGGGGAAGGAAGAAGGAAAGGAGAATGAAGAGGGAATGAAAAAGAAGAAGAGGGGGGAGGGGGGAGGGAGGGAGGAAGATTATAATGAGAGGAAGGATGGTCTGAGGGAAGTCCTGCCTTAGCACTTGGCCGCAAGCAGCCTTGCTGCCCTTTCGCCATCCCCTTGTCTCCTCCTCCTGATCTCTCCTGGTGGTCCTCCATCCTATTGCTGAGGATGCTTTGGTTACAAAGCTGGGTCTCCTTGCAGGGAGAGGGAGTGGGCCTCCTTCTGACCCACACATTTTGTCCTCCCGCACACACCATGAGCAACTTGGCCAAGGAGAGTGAGCCCAATCAGCAGCAGCCTTGAGGAGGAGGTAAGTGCAGCCGGGCACCCCCTTGGGAAAGGCTGGACTGGGTGCTTGCCCTCCACTTCCCAGGGCTCCGGGCAGCCTGCATCACTGGAGGTCCTCTGCATGTCCTGAGAAGGACAGCAAGGCTCCTCTGGTGGACAAGGGTATAGTGCTTGCCCTGGTCTCGCCTTCCTCGGATGGAGACAGTGGATCCCCCCTAGTCCCGCCCGACAAGAGCAATGTTGAGCTGGCCACGCCCACTTTGGCCATGCCCACCCACACTATACCCTCCCAGCCCCCCCAGGGTCAACCACAACCCTGATGCGTCCCTCAATGAAATTGGGTTTGACAGCCCTGTGTTATCGCATCACTAACTTACAGATGCAGTGCCTTTGTAGCCATCTTCCTCTGTATTGCTTCTAGGGAATTCTCCCTGCCAAATATTTGCATAGTGCTGACCATTTGGATGAAGTTTGTTTCCCCAGGGAAAAAGTCTGTCAAAAGAAGCATAGGCAAAAGTTAAGGAATGCAGTTGTGCAATTGTAATGTTTAATAATATTACTATAAAAAAAATAAAATTACTAATGGCATATCAAGAAAGAGAGAGAGAGAGAAAGCTGACATACACACTTAAGATATAAATATTAGCAGCTTGCCCTTCTACAGTAGTTTTATAACACAGCATTAAATTCAATACCATTGACTCTGCATTAACTTAAATAGCCTCTGTGAAAAAGTGGTTTTTCAGTTTAGAAACTAGCTAGAAGATATACTTAGTTTCTTTGCTTAATTTATTTTTCTGGAAAATTACAAAATAATGATGAGTACCTGTTTTCAAGACCTCCCCGGCAGCTATATTCCCATTCGGCTTCAGTTGGTAACCGTTTTCCTGCCCAAGCACAAAAGGCCACAGCATCGTTCCAAGAAACATGAAGAACTGGATGGTCCAGCCTGAGAGATAAACAAACAAAGCAAATGGTAAAACAAGGAAAACAAAAGAGGGTTGGCAACTTTTTAAGATCCTGCATAAGGAAGGGGTTAGAATGTCTTACCAGACCTCAGAATTAACAAAGGCACAACACTGATATTTACTCTTAAAGTTAGCTTTAATCCAATTAATGGATACAACTTTAAAAACAAAACTCAGAAATGATGAAAGCAAAAGAAAGGAAAGAAGGAAGTTCAGCTTAGGAAAGCATGTGACAAAAGAGACCGGAAATAACAAATGAAAGGATAGTATTAATTGTATGCATTTGCAAAGAAAATGAAATTAATTGACTACCAAATGTCATACAGATTTAGCAATACACATGATGCCTTTAATAGTGTGATTCAGGCTTTTGAGCAGCCTGCTTACGTCTTGCCTGCAAAAGTGCTCTAACATTGGAGTTTTTAAAAAAAGATTGGACAACATTCTGTCTGAAATGGTAAAGGGTTTCTTGCTTGAGCAGGGGGTTGGACTAGAAGACCTCCAAGGTCCCCCCCAACTGTTTTTGTTATTCTTTTGCACAACATCCACAACTAAACCTGCTTTTGAAAGATGGCATACAACATTGCAAATAAAACTGGAGTGTTGTGTCAGAAGATTAAAATGAGGAAGTATAGCTTCTGATCAGTTTTCCAAACTGGACCAGTGCTGTATCTTTCAGTACATAGAATGACATATGAACCTGTCAGGAATCCTCTCATTCTTTCTCTAGCTAGCCAAGGACACATGTCCCTTTCCACTCCAGTTAATATTGGTAGGAAGGGAATGTACTCCAGCAGAGGATTTATTCTGTATGCCTCTACCAGAGTGCCAAAATGCTATTGTGTAACTTGGCTGACAACGGTATGAACAATGACCACAAAGAATTATAAAAATCCCTCAGAATTTCTTTAGCACTTCGTTATCTTAAAATCAAGCACCACTGACATATGCGTGTTCACACGCACACACATTTTTGGTCAGCAACAAAGATTAAACAAAATAGGATATGAAAGAAATACCAACTCATGCTCTTTGAATGAGAGCGTCACATTTATTTTTCCTCTTGTGAAATACCAGTGCTTTTATTCAAGTATTGATAATGTTATAATACAAAGCATGGACAAATAGGGCCCAATCACATGTGTTTTGCTTGTGGCACAGCTAGTCCTACCCAAATCATTAAATGAAGCACTATACCCTAATATCTCACATGACAGATAGCAACTGTATTTTCATAATTAGCAAACCTAGCAACACGTATTTTACAAGGACACTGTAACCTAATATTTTCTCCATTAGGCAACTCTGAGGCCTGATAAGAGGTTTTCATGATTCCTCCTATTTTGTGGCGTAGCAATAGCCTTTCCTGTCTTGTTTTTATGCTGTGCCTCTCTATTTACATCGATGCCTAGGTTTTCTATCCACAGGATACTCAAAACTAAACTACTATATACCAATAAAAATCACTACAGTTATTAGAATGGACCTCAGCAAAAAGGCCATAAAGAGTTTCCACTCACTAATAAATGTGTTTGTTGTCTTCTCTCTAATCAAACAAGTAAACTTTGCCATTTCTGCAAGTTTTATCATCTTCATGAACCATTCCTCCATTGTGGGAATTTCAGAAAGTTTCCACCTTTGTGCATATAACAGGCTCGCTGCAGACAGTTCTTTAAATTCTTAAAAAAAGCTATCAAATCTCCACACAGCATTCTCTTCTCTAGGTTGAACATCCTACTCATTCAACTGTAATTTCTTCATGATGTTTTTCTTTCTAAACTCCTTATCTTCCTAGATGCTCTTTTCTGGATATATTCTAATTTATCACTATCCCACCTATAATGGACTGCTTAGAATCAGACACAATAGTCTAGGGTTCAGTCTATTGCTAAACTTAATCAATTAAGAGATTATGCTGACTATTAAATCTTAACAGGGGGTACAAGTGAGTAGGTAGATTACTACATTCTGGACAGTCTTCAGTTATTGGGGCTGTTGCAAGGGCTTCTGTGCCTTACAATGTATTACTGTATCTCTAAGATGAGACTGCAGACAATTACTATGGTGCTGCAAGAAGTCTTTATTCAGTTCTAATTTAAACTATTGAAAGGGAGTAATGCTGAGAAAGCTTTTCAGAAATCATGTTCATAGTGTAATTTATTAATCAGAAATGAACGTCAGGTTCACATATTTAGAAGGTTTTGGCACGGCCTTGAAGACAAGAGGAAAGATGGTAAATGTAAGGGTAAGGATACAGATACGGATAAGGATAAGGATACGGATAAGAGTTAAGGTTGAGCAGGACCATGTAGTAGTTCTGACTACATAGCATTGGTTTTTTGGTCTAGTCACTAGTGTACCTTGTTGGGCTAACACATATACCAGTGATGGTGAACCTTTTAGAGACCGAGTGCCCAAACTGCAACCCCAAACCCACTTATGTATCGCCAGGTGGGTGTGGCCCACTTGGCGGCGCAGCTACAGTGGGCGTGGCAGACAGGGTGGGCATGGCCACTGGATGGGTGTGGCTGCAGTAGTCATGGCAGACTGGGTGGGCATGGCCTGGGTGGGCGTGGCAACTTTGATTGCTTATGGGGGGGACACCTGTGGGAGCCGGGCAGGGTTGAGGGAGATCCAGGGGGTCTCTGGTGGGTGGGATGGTGGGCTCCCCAATGGCGGCTCCAAGCCGGGTGGCCTTAGGCCAGTGATGGCGAACTTTTAGAGACCACGTGTGCTGGGGCGATGGCACGTGCCCACAGGGAGGGCTCTGCGTACCACCTCTGGCACGTGTGCCATAGGTTCGCCACCACTGATATATACCATTCTTACCCATCATTTAACCTTGTCCCTTTTTGTCTTAGTTTCAGTGTTTGACTCTGATCAGTCTAACGTGCATTTGTCCACTACCTCTGAAAGAGACACCTATAATTTAATGTCTTACTTGATCCCATTCAAGCATGACATTACACAGGGTATATATGATACACTGAATTCTGCTATGTCTGTGCTTAGCATAGAATCATTTCCTTTACAGGGAATCAAGCTGCAATAACCAGTCAACCAATGATAACCAAATATGCAATGAGCATCTCAGTAAATCACGCTAAATCCAAGTACCTAATTAAGAGACCCAGACTTAGCATTCACCTGCTTCAGCCCTGTAAAAAGGCATAAAAATGCACAGACATTTTAGGCATTTTTTTTCAATTTACTACAGTACATATGTTCCCATAACCCCAGTGACTGTACAGGCTAACATGCCCAGATGGCAACAAGAAGTTACTATAGAATACAAGGCCCTGAAAAATTGTGCCCTAATGAAGAATGAAGAGTTGATGAATCAACTCTTAACAAAAAGTTGCAAAGAGAAGAAAATACGTAGTTAATTTTTGATGTTACTCCATCACGGGAACTTTTTTTTGAATGTCCAAATAGATGCTGGAATGCTCTTCAAATTTAAGATGAACTTCAGGGTCATCGTTTCACTCACATATTAAAGCTACCAAACAAATCATTATTTAACAATACCAAAGTCTTGAAACTGGTCAAGTCAAACACATACAACTCTTCCCTGTAGTCTAGCTATAATTGACAAGCTACTGTAGACCCAAAGGTGGTGGTTTTCTTTCAAAAGGCAACTGTACTTTTTTTTCCCTTTGAAAACATTTCGCTTCTCATCCAAGTAGCTTCTTCAGTTCTAAGTGATTGGTGGGAAATGGAAGGTTTTATATTCTTTGCAATTCTCTGGTGTCCTTCCATTCGCCACCAGTCAGTTGGAACTGAAGAAGCTTCTTGGATGAGAAGTTAAATGTTTTCTAAGGAAAAAAAGCAAGAAAGTCTAGTTGCCTTTTGAAAACAGTTGCGTTTAGGGACAACTGTGACCCAGATGACTGAGAACCTTCACAGACATCGAGTTACTGTTGTAGTGTTGTTTTCCCTAATGCCTACACTCTTCTTTCTCACCTCTCTCCAAAGTTCTGCTACTCACAACCTTCTTTCCCATCTGCCTTCTCCAGCCCTGGACCCGGACCCCTCGTTTCATCCCCACATTGTATGAAATGAGAATTCATTGCTCTAAGCACAGTAGAATATACCCTCTTCTTCTTAAGTGTCCTCATTTCAGAATGCCAGTCTGGAACACTTAGATTAATAATTCGGTGTCATGACCTAGATCAGGAAGATAAACTTTCACATAGCATTAAGGTTAAAGAGAGCAGATATCTAGAACACTTATTTAGAACTGATTTTGACCTTTCTTTCTTTCCCCTTTAATTCCCTGATGACAATGGATGCTTCTATTTTTGCAATCAGTTCATTCTCATTCTTTCCCATTGGAGACTAAATAAGGGAAGTACACTGAAAATGGTATTATCATGATATGGTTCTTGTCATAAAAGATTTGGTGGGGGGGAAAAAAGCCAAATGCTTTTATCAGCCCTGAGGGGCAGAAACTGATTAGTACTATGTAATGATAGACTATGAAGGCCATTTCACTACTTTTAGTTTTGTCCAAAATAAATCCAGGGGGTAAAATGAGGGTTTCATATTAAAGGCTCTGCTTTATTTTAATAAAAAGGAGATACTGAAGTTGGGGAGCAAATCAATTTTCATAAACAAATGCACACATATTTGTAACCTTTCAACCTTTTATTTTTTTTTACAAAATAGTTTTAGTTTTTTTATTATTTTTTATTATTTTTTTATTATTATTATTTAAATTTATATACCGCCCTATCTCCCTTACGGGACTCAGGGCGGTGAACAGGCAATAATAAAAATCACAGTAAATATTACATAAAAGCCTGCTCTAAAATATAAAAATTATATACTGTGGTTTTCTGTGATTCGATAATATAAATGAAATAAAATTTATACTTGAGATGTGATAATATAATTCATTAGAAACAAAGTATATACAATAGCTAACATCTAACTTAAAATTGTAATGAAAGGGGGAAAAACAACCTTCCCAAAATTTGAAATGTGCATACAGGTATTCCTTGGGTTATGACCACTCTTTCAGTGACTGTTCAAATTTGTGATGACACTGAATGGGGATAGTTATGACCAGTCCTTGGAGTTTTGGCTGTCACAGTGTCCCCATGATCACATGATCCAGGCACCCAGTGCCTGCCTTGCAATTATGATGTCACATCAAGTCATGGTCACATGACTATGATTTCCAACATTTGCTGCAGTCAAAGGGAAAGACAGCAGGAACTTGGAAATTGCAATCACGTGAGGTCCTTGCTTAATGACACGTGCAGTCCTAATGATAGCAATTGGGACTTCAGGAACTGTAGTCACTAACAGGTGCAGTCATGTGATGTTGTGCTTTACAATCATGTCGCTTAGCAATGGCAGTTCTGATCCCAAGTGCTATCATAAACCAATGACTACCTGTATCCTTGCAATCATCTTAATCAATACATGTGTATGTTTTGTATTTAGCTACTGAAACTGTCATGAGAAGCAAGCAAGCAAGCAAAACCACAATTATCAGATATAGGACAGAAATGTATGAGTAGATACATTTACATATGAATAGACACTTAGTACATCATCCAACACCAAAACATTCATCTTCTTAGTGATTAGCAAGTTATAGAACCTTCCCTTTCATAGAAAATGTACCAAGGATGTAGCATATCTCAAGAAATCAATGACCTTTAAAAAGTCATCTGGTATTCATCCCAGCCAATGATAAGCTTTGGGGTTCTCATAGAATAACAGAGTTGGAAGGGACTTGGAGGTCTTCTAGTCCAGCCCCCTGCTCAAGCAGGAGACCCCATACCATTTCAGACAAATGGCTGTCCAGTCTCTTCTTGAAAGCTTCCAGTGATGGAGCACCCACAATTTCTGAAGACAAGCCATTCACTGGTTAATTGTTTTCACTGTTAGGAAATTTCTCCTTAGTTCTAGGTTGCTTCTCTCCTTGTTTAGTTTCCATCCATTGTTTCTTGTCTTGCCTTCTCGTGCTTTGAAAAACCCTAACCCTAACCCTTCATCTTTGTGGCAGCCTTTCAAATACTGAACACTGCTATCATGTCTCCCCTAGTCCTTCTTTTCACTAGACTAGACATACCTAATTGCTACCATGTTCTTCAAATCTTCTAGTCTCCAGTCTCCTAATCATTCTTGTTGCTCTTCTCTGCACTCTTTCCAGAATCTCAACATCTTTTTTATATTGTGGCATCAAAACTGAATGCAATATTCCAAGTGTGGTCTTACTAAGGCTTTATAAAGTGGTACTAATACTTGAGTCTGTCCCTCTATTAATGTCGCCTAGGATTGCATTGGCAATCTAACAAGAATTACTACCAAGAAATCTCCTGCCCCCCGCCCCCAAATAAAATCTGATCTATGATAGGTTCCTTTATTCTGACAACATCAACTTATTTGTGCAGTGATGATTAATTCAGAGTAATAAAATATCTCTCAGCGATTCTGGTGCATTTTCAGCAAAATACCAGTTGAAGCTTGATACCATTTGGGGCTCACCTCTTTAAGATATCAGAATCAGGGCCTTCTGGGTGCTTCCAGTTTGCTCCTTTAACTGGCAGCCACCAAGGAGCAACTGCAACCTAAAAAAACAGGCAAAGAATATATTGGCTTTCTTCTGAAAAGCCTACCCATCCAGCTAATTATATCAGGCAGCTGCCATTAGCAATAAGAAAACAGAGACAGGACACATATGACTCAGTGTCTTCAGTGATGATCTTTGGATGATCATATGTCCATTTACATAAAACATTTGCCATATATCCAGGTTTTTTAGCAGTGCAAGCAATTTAACCAAAGCCAACTAAAATGACCACCAACCAACCCCCCTTCAAATTAACTATAGTTTCAATGCTATCCAAATTAGGAAAGTGTAATTACTTCTTTCTGAAAAAGCCAGTATCTTAATGTAATTTCAAACTGTAGTTCAAATCTTTCCTAGGTGAAACCTAGCTTTACAATTTGGAATAGGTTATGAAATCAATTTCTTTATGCTATTGGATATCACTCATTATATCGCTACAGGAGGTCCTCGAGTTACCACCGTTAGTTTAGCAAATGGTTCACAATTAAAAGTGCACTGAAAAAGCGACTTACAACCAGTCCTCGCAGGTATGACTGTTGCAGCATTCCCACAGATGTGATCGAAATTTGGGTATTTGGCAAATGTATTTACAATGGTTGCAGCATCCCAAAATCATGTGGCGACCAGCTGCAACCTTCTCAGCCAGCTTCCCACAAGCAAGGGTCAATGGGGAAGCTGGATTTGCATAATGACCATGTGATTCACCTGCAGTGATTTGCTTAACAACTGTGCCAAAAAAGATCACACAATTAGCTGGCTGACCGGCCGTACTCAGCGAGTGGTCCTCAATAGAACCACATCTACATGGAGGGAAGTGTGTAGTGGGGTGCCCCAAGGCTCTGTTCTGGGCCCAGTGCTCTTCAACATCTTCATCAACGATTTGGATGAGGGGATAGATGGGGAACTCATCAAATTTGCAGACGACACCAAGCTGGCAGGAATAGCCAACACTCCAGAAGACAGGCTTAAGATACAGAAGGATCTGGACAG